GTTCCTCCCGGGAGCTGAGGCTCGGGGTGCAGGCGTGCAGGCTGCAGCTCAGGATGCTCTGGAGCTTGTGGTGAGGGTTCTGGTAGGGCCGGAGGCACAGCGAGGGCATGTAGCCAGTGCAGCCGTTGTACCTGAGGGCAGGGATGGAAAGAACACTGAGAAAACCTTTCCTGCACCTGGGGCCAAGGGGAGGGAGCACCTGGGGAGCAGGTCAGTGCTGTACACGGGGTGTGAGGACATCCCCAGCTAAGGACATCCAGCTCAGGGGGCTCCCGTGCATCCCACGCAGGAGGAACAGCAAGCAGCTCCCCTGGGGAGCCACAGGGCTCTGGGAAAGCCTCACCTGATCAGCCACCAGCCATTGTGGGACGTCCTGAGCACCTCCACGACCACCCCCTGGTTCAGAGAGAGCTCGTCTGCCTTCTGAGCCTCATAGGCCTGCACCACAAAGTACAGGCTGCCTGCAGAGAGAGGGAAAGGTTGGGTTTGCCTTGTGGAGAAAATCCTCTGATCCCTGCGAGAGACCAGCCCAGCTGCAGGGCAGCTGTCCCTCAGAGTGACTGGTTTGCTCAGGGACCCCAGTCTGATCCATTTAAGTTGAATATAAAGAAGCTTTTTACAAAAAGGGTGGGCAGGCCCTGGCACAGGTTGCTCAGAGAAGCTGTGGCTGCCCCTGGATCCCTGGAAGTGCCCAAGGCCAGGCTGGACAGGGCTTGGAGCAACCTGGGACAGTGGAAGGTGTTGGGGTTGGAACTGGATGGGCTTTAAGCTCTCTTCCAACCCAAACCAGTCCATGGTTCCATGACCCACAGGTGGTGGCAGAGCCAACACCAGAAGAGTCAGAGGTCCAGGCAGGGACTCCAGGCAGTGGGTAAGGTGGTGGGGGTTTGCAGAACCCGTTTTGAAGGAGGAACAGACTCACCCTCCTCATCTGAGCTGAAGGCATTCTGGATGTCCTCATAGGCATCAAGCTCTTCCAGGTATGTGGCTGGGAACCAGGCTATCTGCTTGTCTGCATTTTCCACCAGCCACCAGCCTACAAAGAGGAAGAATACCCAGATTTTAACAGCCTGCAAGTCAAGATATGACAATAATCCCAGGGTAGGGGACATAAGGGACAGGAGTGCAAACACCTGAACCCCTGACACCAGCTCAGCATTTGCCTAGCTATGAATCCATCTGCCCATCCACCCCAGCACTGAATCCTCTCAGACCTACCAGTCATGTCCTTGATGAGCACTTCCACGATCTCCTCCTGAGCCACTGTGAAGAGTTTGTTCTTTGTGTCTTTGGTTTCAAAGGCCTTGATGCAGCGGTAGCTCTGCGACGCCTGAGGGAGGGTGATGGAGAGGGGCTGGGGGCCCTTCTCCCTTCTGAACACTGAGGGCATGATCACAGCACTGGAAAGTGAAGGTGCATGTCAAAACTCATGTGAGAGGTTGAGTTTAGTATTGATTTTGGTAAAATCATTTCTGAAGTAGACTGAGAAATACTTCAGTCATCAGAAACAAAATTAAAAGCACCCAGCTGAACTGCCCTGGTGTTTCCCTTCTATCCATATCCCATGACATTTCTGTTTCATCAACAAACAAAAAAATACAATTCATATTTCACACCTGTTTTCAGGGAAGGAGGGATCGAGGTCTTGAGTCTGTGCCTTGAAAAACTGGTTCACCTCTTCACCCCGGGAGATTTTCACATCAGTTTTCAGCAGCTCCTGGGAATACGATTCCAGCAGTTTCAGGATCTCCAGGCACCTGTTCAGCTTGCCACCCTTCCTCTGCTGCATAGTTATTCCTTCAAAATAACAAGGGCACAGTTGGGATAGGACAGCAATGGATCTGGGTCCCTGGAGCAGCATCTTTTCCCTGAACACCAGGTGCCCTCAGCCACCACCCTTCCTGCCCAAGCACAAACTGTACAAAGGCACTGTCCGTCCCTCCCTGTCATTTTTAACAGCTCCTGATAGGATTTTTTAACATCTAAAATTTCTCTTTTTTTCACATGTAAAGTTTCAAGAAGTTCTAGGTCAATACTTGAAGTGTAGCATTATTTGCTAAGTGCAGTTATCTATTAAAAAAGCCTTTCTGGGTCATTTCAAGTCTGTACTAGACCCAAACATGATGATGTGACCCAGTGGTGCCATGGCAGGAGCAGGAGTGAGCCCCTGATCTGTTCCAGAGGAAGGTCAGGCTCAGAGGCTTCAGTCTCTGTCATGGGTTAGGCTGTCCCTGATCACTCTTGGGTTTGTTGGTCCATCAGAGATTTGTCCTTACCTTTAAACCTGGGTAAACTCCTCAGTGACCCATTCTCAGTGGGGAATTTTCTCTTCAGCTCCTTCTAAAATCAAGGAGAAGGAGAGAACAGTGATTCCTCACAGCTGACACATGGCCGGGCTCCTTCCCCTCCCCAGGACACGAACCTTGAAATTTCAGGAATTGGAAATTCACTTACATGGAATTTCCGAAAGTCTTCAAACGTCCTGTAGATGAGAATGTTGTTCTGATCTGACCAGGACACAAACATCATGTAGTTCTGGGGAAAAAGAAGCAATTTAATCACAATGTTCAATTTTGGATGCTTCCAGATAATTAGCATTTGCTGTGGTTTAGTTGAGGCTTTTAATGTCACATTAAAAAATTAAATAAAACATTAAACCTACAAAAGTATGTCCTAAATTTCATAGTCCTAGATGGGTAATCATTGCTGAAACCAGGAGAATTTTATGGTGCTGTGACAAAAAGAGGACAAACCCCAAGATATTAAGCTCATTAAAAACCAAGTCCCCTTATCCTAGACCCCTAGGCTCCAATCCCAATACTATGGGGAACGAACAAATACCCCTGCAAAATCCTCTAGTCTCCCAGTTTGTAAATTATATTTAAGGAAGAAAACAAAGCCAAAAAAAACCCAATAAAAATTAAAGTACCTTCTGTTTTCTGCACTGCATGAAGCCGACAGCCTTCACATCCACGGGATACCTGTTAGAGCTCATCTTCCCCACGGCTGCTGCTCCTCCTTCGCGGGGAGCCAGAGGGATGGAGAGGGAAGGATGGGAGCTGGAGGGATGGGAGCTGGAGCGATGGGAGAGGGAAGGATGGGAGCTGGAGGGATGTGAGCTGGAGGGATGGGAGAGGGAAGGATGGGAGCTGGAGGGATGGAAAGGGAAGGATGAGAGACGGAGGGATGTGATCTGGAGCGATGTGATCTGGAGCGATGGGAGCTGGAGCGATGGGAGCTGGAGGGAGCAGCGATGCAGCTCCAGCCCGACTGCCCAATTTAAATGGCACGGAGCAGGAGGCAGGGCAGAGGTGCTCCCGAGCTTCCTCCTCCGCCCAGGCCGGGCAGAAATTCCGCGATTTGCCAAACTGCCGCGTGCCTTTTACCTTTCGCCCCGCTTTTAACATGCAAATGCTGCCGGCTGCAGGAGGAACAGAGTTCAGGGAGCCGGGGAGGAAAAACACACTCTGTTATCTCGTCCTTACTCAGCAGTGCCGGGAAGGAAGGAAGGCAAGGGAGCGGGGCTGTTTGCCAGCGCTGGGGCAGAGTAGGTCACAGGGCTGCAGAACCTGGCCCGAGATGTTTCCGGGACACAGGTGAGGGTTTTGTGGCTGTAATACACAACCTGCAGCTCGGGCTGAGCTCACTCCAGCCCCAAAGGCTGATTTAGACATGGGTTGTAAAACATAGATCAGGCACCATTAAATGTGAGTAATATTTGTTGCAATTTTTTTTCCTGCTGAGTTACTTTAAATAGATTTCTGACAGTTTTATCAGTAACTCCGTTGAGATGTCGATGTAATGAACAGACACATCCCCAGGATGTAACTAAAAGACTGAAAGCTCCTCAGGTGTAAATGTGATGGAAATTCAGCTCTGAGTGCTCTGCCCTGTGTCCAGCCAGCAGCTCTTCCTAAGGAGCAGCTCCACTGCCCAGGGGCTCAGCAGCAGAGATAATTCCAGCCCTGGCCAGCCTGTCCTCTCCCTGAACCTCAGGGCTGATGGGCACCGTGTGATCAAAGCGCCTCTTCTTTGATAAAGCCTCAATTGAACCATTCTCACTATAATTATCTTTATCATTATCATTATTGGAGCCCAAACTGAGAGGCTCAGCCGTGCCTCCCATTCATTTCCCAGCTACACCTGGTGCCTCAAAGCTTCAGCAATGGCTACAGATGATTTTTCATCTACCAAACCCCTAACCCAGAACTGGAACAGGGAGCCAAACCAGATTCCTTCTGGAAAATACAGTCAGGAGGGTCTTGGTTTGTGATCCATGAGCACGGGAGGCTGCTCCCACACAGCAGAGCAGCAGTTTCTGGAGACAAAGAAAGCAGGGTTATTGCAGTTGGATTTATTGCTGCTGGATATCTGTCCTGCATTAAAAAGGGAAAGTTATCCAAAGAGCGCTTTGGTTCGGTGTGGATTTTGGAGAGAAAATCTCTCCCACAGCATCTCCGAGGCATTTCCTGGCTCAGGAAGTTGCACAGGAGCTGCCCTGTGGAAAAGGGATCTGGAGCAGCTCCCTGCCCTCCACAGCCCTGGAATCAGACCCTCCATCCTTCGTTACAAATCCTCCAGCCAAACCATGTGCTGGTAAATCTCCCCAAATCACAGAGTGAGGATTTTATGGAGTGAGAAATCACTTCATCCAGCAGATTTATTTAGAAAGTTCCAGTCTCTGAGGTGCCAAAACCCTTTGCTGACTCCATGTCCTCAAACCTGCACTCCTTGGCTTCTCCTGGGCAGCCAAGCCAGGGCCAAGCTCCCCCTCATGTGGCTCTGTTAAGTGGCTCGTGGAAATATGTGGGACCAAGACTCCCAGTGAAGCACCTTGGCTTGGTTTCCTGTCTCAGAGCAAACACAAACCACGATGTATTTCCAAGAATGTAAAGGTTTAAGCATGTTTATCCTGACTGGGAAAAGCCAAAGACAAGGAAAGCCTTGGAGGAGCTGCAGGATGAGGAGACAGCTGGGGAGGCTCAGAGAGCACCTTGATCTCAGGATGCCATAAAAACCAGAAGAGTAGGAAATGCCTTGGTTTTGCTGTGTTTCATCATTCTCAGGGCATTCAAGCAGAAAGGGGGTGTGGAAAACATCTAATGGAATATTACACCTGGAAGGTGAAGCTACACAGGGGTTTCCAAGTCACCCAAGGCAGAAGGACCAGCCCTGCAGCTTGGAGAGCTGATCTTCTGGAAAAGATTGGACTGACTGGAGCTTGCTGGTGACTGCGGTGTTGTATAAATCCAAATATGAACAAAACTGCTCAAAACCTAATAACTGGTTATTGAGAAAATGTTTTGTGGAAGTGAAGGTCTCTGTGACACAGAACTGAGGCGCAGGGAGGGGAGGGGAAAACCTCTGAGACACCAACACCTCTGGAGTCACCTGCAGGGCCCAGCTCCAGCTCTGCAGCTGTCGCAGCAGTATCGGTGTCCCAGAGGTGTCAAGTGTGATGTCACGAAACTGTCAGCTCCAGGATGACCTCAGGAGCCACGTCACCTCTGCAGTGACACTGCCCATGAAACTGAAAGGAGGCTGGGCCAGATGGCCTTGGATGGGCACAGTGCTCCCCAAAGCTCTCCACAACTCCCATCCACGGCAGGGCCCATTGGCAAGGATGGGTCACCCACCAGCAGAGGCCATAACTCCGCAGCTCTGCTGGATGCATTTGAGCTCACTTATAAAAAACAAGACAAACATTGTTTTTCCGCCATTATCAAGTTTACTTTGTGTCTTCTACAGTTCCCATGTCATCCTGCCATAAATCAGCGCCTCTCGTGGGTAATAATTAATGGCAGGGGAGGAGGGGTCTGCCCAGAAAAAGTGATACTCAGCAGGAATTACTGGATGCTGCTGTTTCATCATTGATATTTATTTACACAGCTCTGAGGGCAGCAGTAAATTTTCCTTTAGTTGTTTTGCAAGGTACCGAAGAGATCATAAATTAACAGGCAATATGCAGGAGTGCACTGCCCAGCTTTGCCAAGATACAGGACACACAGATTTTTCCATAATGACGCCCATAATTTTGCAGTCTGCTCCAAGAGAGCCTCCTGCACCCCACCAAGGTGCAGCTCTGCCACTCAAAGAGCATCACTCCAGCCACAAACAGCTCCTCTGGGGACAGAAACATGTTTGTGTCACAGCAGGTGACAAAGGCACTGTCACAGGGAGTCACAGCAGCCTGCCTGCCCCACATTGCCCACGGCTGGGAAGAGGAAGGACGGCACCCAGAGGCTGCAGGAAGGCCCCAGAGTCACCAGGGCTGTCCCACTGAGTATCTCCATTCCAAGATCAGCCTCATTCCATGCCAAATAAACACTGATGCTCTCTTTTCTATTCATTTCAGTGTGGATGAGGAGGAACTTCAGTAGAAGCAGAATCTGAGTGCACAGATGCTCGGGGGCAGCCAAAGGCAGCTCCTCTCCAGCTCCTCCTGAGCCATTTTCCAGGTCCAACAAGAAACAGCCTTGTCCCAAATGCTTGGAGAGGAGCAGCTGTGTCCTGAACATCTGTCCCACACACACAGGTCGTGTCTGGGTTGCTGAATGACCTGTGCCCCTCATGGCTGACGATGTGTGGGACTGTGCATCAGGGATTTCTCCTTCTATGGCCGGCACAGGAAAGGCAAAGAGAGGAAAAGTCCTCAAACCACCCTCAGGACACTGCAGCTGCGAGGAAGAGATACAGAAAGGAGCTGTGGGCACAGCCAAGGGGGGCCTAGAACAAAGCTGGTGGAAAAGCTTCATCTTTCCCTTGCTCACCTTCAGGATCAAAACCTGCCCTTTACTGTTCTTGAAGGTCACTTGTGATGACACATGACCTATCAGCACCTTTAATGAAAAGCTCAGATGCTAAAAGCCGATTTTAAAAGTACAAAGAGGTTTTAGACTTTTAATAAATAGAGAAACAGACCTTTATTTAAAAAGAATAATGAAAACCCAGACACTGGAGTTGACAAAAGTCTCCTTCACATCACGAACAAAGGGAGCAGTTGAACTTTCACACAGGCTGGGATGAGAGATTTTGCAGTAACTAATCCAGAAGAAAGTATTTCATTTTATCCTAATTCCAGCAGCTGCTGCAGGCACTAAAGCATTTCTCTGTGGCAGACTCAGTTCAGGAATTCTTTGAGCCCAGGCAGCAGCTCAGCCCTTTCCCACTCCATCACAGGAGCTTCCCAAGGTGCACATCCTTCCTCAGGGCAGGGGGGCACTCATTCCTCACAGGCAGCTTTATTTCAACATCCAAAATCACAGCATCACATCAAACCCTCTCAAACCTCACCCCTGAGGTGTCATTTTCTTTGCAGAGCCCTTGGGATGGCCCGGCCCAGCCCATGGAGAGCTCTGCCCGTCTCAGGAGCTTTGCTCGCTGCCTGGGGCACGCACAGCGGACGGGCTCGTGTTTACCAAGCACAAGTGGAAATAATTTCCTTGTTGTTTTATAAAAGTGACATGTTTTCCTAAGGTTACGCAAAATACAAAAGCGTGATTCGAGAAGGAATCTTCCAGAAAGGATGAGAATGTAACTTAAGCTGCTTCAAGAAGAGGAGGTTCCCTGAATTTTTTTTTTTTTTTGAAAAAGCTGTGTTTGATGAGTGCATAGCACGAGGGCAGAGCTTTGTGGACGTGCTGTGACCCAGAAATGAGATGTGAAGGCAGAAGAAAAGCAGAGTGGAGTTTCCAAGGACGTTTGAGGCTCTGCAGTGCTCAGCCTGCCCTACACATTCCAAAATCTGGTGGGAGAAAATCCCAGCAACACCAGTACAGCCAACAGCGAGCGCAGCAAGCACGAGTGAACATGAAGAAATACTGTTTTCACTTGGGGAAAATCTGTTCTTACATCATGCTAAATATAGTAAATTGATTTGAGACAGGACCGTTGTGTTCCTTCCAGATTAGTCAGAGATGCTCATCCCACTCTTTCCCTTTCCTCATTCCCCACGGCCACCGAGGAGCAGAGTAGGCAAAGCCTTATCTCTCCTGGAGATTTCACCAGCTAAATGTCCACCTGCATTTCAGAGCAAAGACAGCAACTTGTGTTCCTTGGGCCCTCCAGAAACCAG